GAATAACTAGCAACTTTAAAAAATTTTTTTTTTTCATTAGAGGAAACTTTGTCAGACATTTTTAGTAATATTTATTTTCATCTTAATTTTTTTTATCACAACTTCTTCAGCTGCCAATCATTGCAGTGAGTAGACGGCTTGAGATGAGAACATTTTTTTTTTTTTTTATTTCTGATCTACACTGTCTGCTTACTGCCATAGACTGATGCCCACAATAATTTTGTAATAAAAAGTTAAAAATAAAATTATGAAAGGAAATGTTAGCCAACATTAATAAGTGTCTTGTCTTCATTTCAGTTAATTACTTTGTTCCTCTCTTAAAAAGTTTATCAGCAAAGAATTGTTAAAGTTTGTAATTGTTTTTTTTTTCTTCTTCTTTTACTGTTTATAGCGCATTCTCTCTGAAACTTCATTTTTTGTTTCTCTGCATATTTGTGGCTATTATCAAATTGACTTTTTCTCTATTCCTCCTGTGGAAATGGCTAAAGACAATCACTTTCTTTGTGAAATTCATACTATAAAATTCACTAGTATGATGATTAAGATTTCAATAAATGATACTTTAAAATATTTTGCCCACTGAAACTACCATAACCCCTTATTTAATTTAGTGCAATCCTTAAAAAATATTAGAACTGAAGAATTTTTATACTTCAATTTCATATTTTTTATTTATTTACTTTTTTGCAAAAATATCCAAATTTTTTGTTTCTGAAATTTAGTAGTTTGGGAGATTGATTAGCATTTTCATGTTTTCAATTGGTGCTAAGCCTTATTTTCCATTACAGTTGATAATATGCAAAACAAAAAAAAATGTTGAGTAATTTTAATTCTATTGGAATGATTCAGTACAAATTATCAAGTTAATAAGGACATTGTTTTGAGAAGAGGCCTCCCAATCAATGTTGGGTGAGGCTTAGAAAAAATTTAATATAAATCTTTATATTTTTAATCTCTGGATAGAAATGTTGAATATTGTTAAATCACTTCAGCATCTCAACAATTCATGAATGTTGCCATTGTATTGTGATTTGAATTTCTCATCTAAGAAAAAGGGAAATCTAAACATAGAAAACAAATGGCCTGCAGCAAGCAAAAGAAATGTTGGGAAGTGCTTGTAACAGGAAAAAGATTTGTAATTTTAAGTTTTTTTGTTGGTAAAATCAAGGTTAACCTTGGCATTAATTATTGTCAACCACTCTTAGAAATATGGAAATTTTAACTATAGTAGAATTCTAATGGATGAAAACCTCAGTATCTGTCTATATTTCTGAGATGAAGTATTGTGTACACTATTTATATTATTCGGACTATTTTCGTCACCTTTGTCACCATGTTTATCACAACGTTTTGGCCGTTGCATGCTCCGGCCTTCTTCAGGTAGTTGGAATGTCGAACTTAAGCCTTTATTTCGCTCACTGGGGTAGACTGTTCTAGTTCCACGTGCCATGTTTTTGATGGATGTCAGTTATCTCCTATTAATTTCCCTCTGAAAGTTCTCCACTGCCTTAACCAGGCACATTTCTTGTTCAAATGTTAAATTTATTTCTCAAGAACATTATTAACCATGGCAAATGTCAAATATGAAATTAATCTTTCATAATTAAGTTTTCACCAGTATTTCTTTCATTTTAATATTACTTGTTTTTCATTGCAACTATCTGGAATTTCTATGAAATGATGAATTGTCATCCATTATTATCCATTATTTCTTTCATTTTAGTTTTAATTGCTTTATTTACTCTTGTAATATTGGGAATTTTTTGTTAGGTAAAGCATTATTCATTTTTTAGTATTTCATTCATTTTAATTTTAGTTGTTTTTCATAACATACAGCCACCAGTAAATAATTTTACTGGAATTTTTATTAGATGAAACATTGTCAACTATGATTAATTTTTTTTTTTTTTTTTTTTTTCATTCATTTTAATTGTAGTTTCTTTTCGTTGCAATTACTCAGACCATCAGTTGATGTCCATTAGAAACCAATGCTGATTGAAAATAAAGAATAAATTTCCAATGAATCTTTTCATTGCCTTAGTCTTTTCTACATTGTTGAATAGAACTGGGATTTGTGACAAAAAGCTAATATTCTGACTGATTGATCTTTTCTTAGAAAGTTTTCACCAGTTGAATAAATGAAAATTCGAAGTTCAATGAAGATAAAAAAAAAATGATTTTACACAAACTAAGTCTGTATTTTTTATGCAAATTTTTAGTTGTTCTTAACAATAAAGACTTGTGATTGTCTTGTTTTATTCTCAGATTTTCTATTAAATAATGAAATCTGCCATATTCCACAGAACGCTCACCAAGGCTATAATTTTTTTCTAGCATTGTTTTTTTTTTTTTTTGTCCAGAATTTCAGATTATGTCAACAAAGAATAAAAAACCAGTTTCACATTGTTGATTGCAATGTTTTTATTTTAGTACTTTTTTATTTCATCTCCAAAGATGCAATCTTATTCATTTTTGGCTTTTATTTTTAATGAAAAGAAAGAATTAATAAAAAAAATAGCAAAACTTATTTAAAATTTCTTATTTTATATTATTATAAAAATATTTATTTTATTTTACTTAATGTGATAAAATTTGGACTAAATCCAAGAAAATCCAAAAGAATATATTTCATTTTATTCCCTATCAGTTTTTTTTTTTTTTTTTTTTGCGTTTGATTTGATATATGCACCAAAATATTTCATCCATTTGGTTGAATAGGCGCAAAAGTTGTTTTATGAAAAAACAAATTTTGTGCTGTGTGAATGGGAATGAGGAATAACTGATATCTTAGATTAATTCACTTAGTAAGACAATTTTGGCAAAAACAAATGACTGTAGCAATGTTTCTTAGATATATCTTGGTATTTACAAAAGAGTAAATAAATGCAATGAACCATATCTGTGAAATGGGGTAAAATTTGTGATTTTTTTTTTTTTTTTTTGCCCAAATTGCTTCCTAAAATTTCTATTTATTGAAATATTCAGTTTGGGAAGTGGGTTAAGGCTGGAAACTCTTATAAGAAAAAATATTGCCTATTTTCAAGAAAGGTTGAATAATTTTTTTCTCTTCGTGTATATAATGGTGTATATATATATATATATATATATATTATTTTATTTCATATTCTGTGAAATCCCTTAACCAGCAATATTATTTCAATAACATCTCAACTTTAGTCTTGACTTCACCTGTTTTTTTTGTTTTTTTTTTTGCCTGTTACTGAAGACATTGTAGCAAATAACAACAGTAACATGCATTTTCATTGGCTGCTTCTTCCTTGCCCTATCCTCCCTTTTTTGTAAAATATTAACTCCTTTCCATTGCCTGGAATGTGTATGCGCCATCTTAGAACAGTTTGCACTAACACCTGTCTATTGATGTTTAATAAATAATGTTTTATTGTCATGAAGTAATTATTATTATTTTATTAAGTTAGCATTATTACTATAATTATAATCATTATTTTTTTTTTTTTCTTGTATAAATTATTTCTGTTACACAGGATATGCACTTGACTGTCAATGATCTATTCCATTTTGCTATTGCAATATTCTCAACCAGATTCTTTCTTTTTTGGGTGGGGAGGGGTTATATTTGAAGGTAATTTATCTACTTTATAAGTACACTGTAAAGCATATTTTGTGGAATTGGGTCGTTTTTACATGGACAGCATCTTAGTGAAGTGGAACTCTTACCCATAGCCATTTTGTTACTTCTTCCTTTTGATTTTTTCCCTGTGCCATATTTATTGTTTACAACCTAATATTAGTAGTTGTGAAATTATTATTATAGTAAAATCCTCTAAAAATTAATAATGATAATTTCTTATCTGAAACCAAGTAAAATATTGATAGAATTTCAAAGGAAAATAAAAATGACTCCCTCCTTTAGTTCCTTACAATTTGCAAAGTCAGTAATTAATGTTACATGTGTAGTTTGTTATTCTAGATACTTTGGTTGGTGGTAGAGTATGGTATTGTAGATCATTTCAGGTGTGGTTCCATTGCATGTGCACAACTGATTAAAACATATTACCATAAAATCTATATGGAAATAAGAAATTTAAACTTTAGCAAAGGATTTCTCACTCTTATTTACATTGATCTACTTGGACTAGTATCATCATCTTGGTTGTTATTGTCACAACATTTCAGCAGTTGTACTCTCCAGCCGTCTTCAGATGTTTGCTGCAATTGGTAACCTTATAGGGAATTTTGAACAGTACTTTTAATTTCTACCATGAGAGTAGATTATTTTCAAATCAGATTATCATGTATCAGTTCAATTTTTAACCACTGGATTTTCCTATGAAACACATGGCCTAGTTGATAAAATTTGACTAAAGTGAATTTAGTTACTTGGTTCAATCAAGGTAGTGCCAAGAATCATATACTATTCAGTGTTAAAGAAAAGTGACATGAATTGGAAGAATTAACTGATACAAAATAACAAAAGCGGAATGAAAACAATCTGCCCCTATGAATTGAATAAAAGGTTCAATTCAATCTTAAGTTACCAATTATAACATACACCTGAAGAAGGTTGGAGAGCACAATGGCTGATAACATAACAACCAAGGTGAGAGTGCAAATCTGAGTAAATCACTGTATAATAATAATAATTCCTCATCTCAAAACCTAAGATAAACTTTCCTCTCTGTTTTAAAACTCATAACACTATTTTGGTTGGTCTTTGACAGTCAGTATGATCTTGTGATCTTTGTTATTACTTTGTTATAAAGATATTTTAATTCAACCAATTAGTCTATTTCTGATTGCAGTGAGGCATTGTTGTTATTATTTGGATAAAATTTAAAGCAGTAAATTGTCTCTCTGCTTGTTTAACTGCACTGCCCACATTGTCTTTTTTTCTCCCCATCCCACCCTCTTCATTTTTGTCCCCTTTTTTGTATTTTATACCAATAAACCTATTCCCTTTTTGCCCCTTTCTCTGTTACACATTGCTTTTTTTTGCTTCGCCTTATTATTATATTTTGCAGATTGCACGTTTTTTTCGTTTGAAGAACCAAGGAGTAAGTACTCTCCTTATTCCATTTCTTCTGAACCCCAATTCTATTTTTTTGTTTTGTTTTTGTTTCTTTGCAGATGATACTCAACTTAAGATTGTGTTTTTTTTTTTGTTTTTTTTTAAGTTTCCTCTCTGACCATTGCAGAATTCTTGCCCTCACAGTGCTGATTATTGTTTTTCCATAGATTTGTTGATCAAGATTTTTAGATACCTTTTCAACTCAAAACTTTGAAATCATTTAAGAATTTATTCAAAGAACCTCTCTCTGCAAAGATTTGAATACACCTTAACAGTATTCATACATCTATAGTCAGTATCATCAAATTATATTTTTCAATAGATCTGACTGACAAGTTGTAATTCCTAGTTTTATTTAGTTTTTAGTATTATGGCAGAAAGATTTTAAAACTTAACAAGAAAAATCATTTAAATGTGGTGGTGGAGGGGTGTCATTAGTGTGTTGCTGGAAAATAGTATCAGGTTATTCCATAAGGAATATCCAAATTTTGGATTGTTTCATTCTTAATCACCTCTTTCCGATGATTCACAAGACTTATATTTTTTCACTTTGTCATTGAATTGTCTAATACTTTTTATATATATATTGTTATATTCCATGCTAATAGGAATATATACTTCATAAACACAGTGGATAAAATAAGTAAAGGTTTATTGTAATAACCAGTACAATAAGAAATAAGGTAACAGTTATGCGTACGATCTTCGCAAGTCAATCCAGTAGTGAGTGCTACTATTGGAAGGTTGGTAGCTCTCATGTAAGTCTGAGTTGTACTCAACAGATCTCAGCTAGACTCCTGTAGTCTGTTGCCTTATGGATACTTATAGGTAGTTACTACCTATAAGTGTAGCCCTTCATGGGGGTGACAGGTTATTCCATTTTATATATATATATATATATATATATATATATAAACTATAGTTTTCACTTCCATCAAGATTAATCTGTAAACTGTGTGATTGGTGGTAATTAGATGAAGCAAAGTCTGAAGAATAAGTGGGAGTGTTTTTTTTCCCTGGCTGAGGTTTTCAATCTTTTCAGATGTGATCTATGTATTATATGGGACCTTGTAGTATCATGATGGAACACTGGACCTTTGCAATTACTCAAAATGGATGTATTTTCCTTGCAAAGCCATCTTTAAATCATTCTTGTGCTGAAAATAGATATATGTAACATTGATTAATAACAACTCAAAATGAACTTCACTTATTCTCAATCCTACCAATGGCTTAGGAAAACTGGGGTGCAGGAAAGTTTGGATATCATCTCTTGCTTTATAGTTGACATTTGTGAAATTTTGACAAACTAATTTTCCAAATTTAGACACAATTTCAAGTTGTTGCACATGACATTGAATATTTTTGAGTTGATTGTTCAATCATAGCACTAGGATTTCTATTAAGTTCAGATACAAGTAGTTCATCATTCAACCTAATAAGGTAATTTATGGTGCCAAACAGAAATGGAATAAATTTTTTATTAATTTTCGCTAGATTACTTTAAATTATTCATTTGACATCCACCATATCAAATAATGGACACGTCATTAAATATTGAATGTTGTTTATTGATCTGAGACCAAAACTTTTGCATCCTCTTGTATTTGTCTATATATTTATGTACAGGGAAACAGTCTTTATTTCACTTTATATATAGGCTGTCTTAAGGATTTACTATATTCAAGTTAGTAGTAATATATATATATACACACACACACATAATATATATATATATATATAATATATATATATATATATATACACACACACACACATATATATATATATATATATATATATATATATATATATATATATATATATATACACATATATATATATATATATATATATATATATATACACACACACACACATAATATATATATATATATATATATATATATATATATACACACACACACATAATAAATATATGTATATATACACACATAATATATATAGCACCAGTGTTCACATTGATTTACAAAATGTTGGAACACAATTGGTATAGATTTGGGCATTTCTATGATGACATCAAGGCATGTTTACACCATCAGACCTTACCTTTATATACTGCTATCCCATGACCTTTGGCACATCAATTTAAAACTGTTACTTTTCATTATGGTTGTGAAAATGATATTAATTTTACAGAAAAGAGGGCAAAATGAAGAGTTCTTTTCTTTTATACAGTTTATTACCATGCCACCTAGTGAGTGTTAAGTCTCCTGGTAGACAAGATGAAGTAACCCCATAAACCAATAAATCCAATTATTGAGCTGATACTTCAATCATAGTAGTACAATTTCTATCAAGATAAGGCAAATCAGGTCAATATTCAACTCAACAGGACAGCTTGCTTGTGATAAATCTCTTAATTTTTATTTAAACTTTCCTAATTTTCTGTCAATTTCTTTCATTTAAATAATTTAAAGGGATATTTTAGGTTACTTCTGCAGCATTATTGCCTTTTCTAAATTTATAGAAAATGTTCTGCAAACATGTCCATCCAGTTGTCAGATTTGTAACAGCCGAATTTTACTGTGATCATATAACTTAGTACATGTTTGAAAAAGACTATCATGTATTGTTATTATCTAGGCATTTTAACAGAAATACAATTCAATCTATTGTAATCAGATTTCAGATATTATAGGATGACTATGGTTGAAAAAGCCTTTGTGCAAAGTACACTTTAGTTAGAGAAAGTTTCTCTTCCAACAAAAACTGTGCTTCTGACTTTGAAGTTGGAAAAAGTACTTTTAATGTGTAGAACACTGACATCTCTCTTGTTGAAACAGTCAATCCGATGTGTAAGAACAAAATTGAAGCCTGTCTTCCTTATATAATGGTTCATTTGAAATTAAAATGATGCATCAGTGTTTTTCCTGTTGATGAAAATTGAAATCACTTTTCATGGCTTCATTCTTTATGTATGCTTTTTCTCACTGAATTTATAAGCAACACTATTCACATCTCATTTTGTTTTAAAATAACAATTCAAATTTGTAATAAGAATTTTGTCATATTTGTATGTATCTACATTTTTTACTCAGATGTGATTTGTGTATTTGAGATGATTAGATATGACAATTCATATTATACTTACTGTGACCAAAATTATCATAGTTAACAGTATTATTGTGATATTTGATGTGTTATAATAATGTTAAAATACATATGTTGAAAACATTTACTAAATAAATTAGCAATGCTTTTGTATGCATAAACATTAAAAAAATAACATTAATAATAATAGTAATATAAAATGTGATTATAAACTGACATCATAGATGGCATTATGTTACCATGAGAGGTGACTGCACTTGGTGTGTATTGTGGGGAAGAAAAAATAACCACCACCATATTTTTTTTTATTCTAATATAAATATATAGTAAATCTTTACCGGATTTGCAACACTGGTCATACTATGAATATCTGACATCTTTATTCACTTCAGATTGAACTGGGAGAATCTTAGTATATTCATTTAGTTTGGTTTAAGTAGTGATCTGTGTGAGGAAACAATGTGTACTCACTAGCACTCAACACTCTCAGACAACATGCTGCTTGCTTGGATGCACAAAAGCTTCCTAGTAAGATAAAGTAGTTGAAACCTATGGTCCCTCCTCCACCTAAGTGAATCTTCTTGTTTCAGAATAGGTGGCAACTTACCATCTTCAAGGTCACTGTCAACTGTTGCAGTACTTTTAGGGTAATTTGAAGAGATCTTTTTTTACATGGAGAGTAGGAAAATACTCTTTGCCTTCTTACTGTAAATATTTTTAAGGTTTTTCCTCATTACTTCTTTAATTGATCAGTGATGACTCCCTATACTATACCACCAGAAAATATCTGAGGCAAGCATGTCTGTAAACTTAAGCTCAGAGGTTTAAGTAGCTGACTCACTTGCTCCATGATATTGGTCATCTTTGAGCATCAGATATCATATTTCTCTATATTCAGTTAGTGTTGCACAGACTGCATCTTCTGTATTGATCCCAATTACATCATGCGTCAGAGCTTTTGGTGGCATGTCAGCTACCTTTTTTCTCTTTTTGCATGTTTTCTCTTCCTGCTGCGAGAGAAGCCTTGGATGAGATGTTGGCAAACATTAATTACTTTGTCACCTCTGTGAATTTTCAGAGCCTTTGAGATAGTCAGGGTACAAATCATGAACAAAGCACCCAAGGAAAGATTTGACCATATTAATTTGCATTTTCTGTAGTCCTGCAGATAAGGTTTTCCTTTTCAGTAGTTTACTCTTACAGTATATTATTGAAAAGTCATAAAATTAAAAAGTTATGTTAAGATTTGATTAACTGGAGTTTGAAAATGTATTTTTCTCATGACATTTCTTTTGAAAAGTTTTCATTTTTGAGAAATTCTAATTTGGGATGATTCTAAAGTGAAGACTCAGTTCACAATATAAGTATAATGCCAAACAGGACACTGACCTTGTGTCTAGATTTATGACCACTGATGTTCAATTTAACATTTGAATTGAAGTTAACACTGAACCCCGATTTTATGTCCGTTTAATGACTCACTAACTTTGTAATGTTGCCACCTTTCTTTCTGTATATTCTGCAGACAGGATAACCCATTGTCTATCATTTTTCTGGCAGAATCCTGATAAAACCTGGAATATGCCTACACTGGAGATTGATAGTGCTGCTTATTAACGGAGACTCAGATGATAAAGTTTTATTTAATATTCACTAGGGAAGGATAATGTCTTCATCAATCTTGAAGGAGCATATTTTAATAAACAAAGTTTTTTTTTATTTGGAAGTCTTTTGATTGTTTTTTTTTTTTTTCTTTTTTGTCACAAGAAATTAGTCTTTTTGAGTTGAAGTTGTGGCATTATCATTCAGACATATAACAGCAAAGGGTTTGTCTGCCAAAAAATAATCTGCGACTGTCTAAAGAAATCAAAGATAAGTTGAATATTTAAGACTTGTTTCTAGAGGTTCCCA